CGGCCTGAGGCCTGCGGGTGGCGGGGGGTGGGGCTTGTTGCATGTGCCCCGCCCCCGGGCTCTTTACTGCCGGAGCTCCGCTCCTGTGCGCTCCCGCAGGAAATGATCCCTGGTAATTGCTCAGTTACTTATGCACCTTGGCTCTAATTAGCCCCTCCTGGCAATGCCCTCCCCACCTATACGTAATGCTTGGTGGTTTCTGTTGAAGAAGCATACAGGCACATGAAAGCTTATACCCAGAATAATATTTTGTTGGTCTTAAAAGTACCACTGGACTCAAACTTTGTTCAGTTCAAGTGATCACTGTTCTCCTGGAAGGTTTTGAGGGCTCTCTTAAGCATTGGGTGAATGCTACTGTTGGAGAGAGCGACTCAGCATGCCTGGAAATTGGGGGGGGGGGTGGCTCAAGTGGTTAAGATGCTGAACTGCAGGCTGGAAGGTCGGTAATTCAGCAGTTCGAGACTCGAGTAGTGAGCTCCTTTCTCTGGTCCCAGCTCCTGCCAACCTAGCAGTTCGAAAGCAAGAAATTGCAAGTAGATAAATAGGTACCACTTCGGTGGGAAGGTAACAGCGTTCCGTGCGCCTTGCTGTTTAGCCATGCCGGCCACATGACCACGGAAACGTCTTCGGACAGCGCTGGCTCTTCGGCTTGGAAACAGATGAGCACCACAACCCTAGAGTCAAATTCGACTGGTTTTTGAGCAAGGGAAACCTTTACCTTTACATCACTCGTCTCTAAAGGTATACAGACGTTATCTCCTTGAATGGGATGCCTCTCTGTGTCTTAACCTGGGAACTGCCCTCTGACTGCTCCTCTCTCTCTGGCTTTGTCCTCTCACTCTCCTTCCACATGGCCTTTCATGGAGGCACATGTCTCTGCATGTCTCTCCTATGGATCCAGTGCCCTCATACTCCTACACACAAGATGCTGAACAAGCTGTCCCTTCCTGATAGGGACAATTCTCTTTACATTAGGCTTCTTTCTCTCTTCTTTTGACTGCAACCTGAATGTGAACTGGATCTACTTGAAGAAAGGCAAGTTTGCAATATAGTTCTTGGCAGGGCTATTTTTGGGCAGGAACGCACAGGAACGGAGTTCCGGCTGACTCCCAAGTTGGCCACGCCCAGCAGGAACTCATTAGCATAATAGGCCACACCCAATAGCAGAAACTCATTAGGATTGGCTTCATTAGGGGTGTGTGGCCTAACATGCAAAGGAGTTCCTGCTACAAAAAAAGGCCCTGGGTTTTGATAACAAACAAGGTAAACAGAATAACAAGCAAAAGGTGGGTGTGGCTGGATGACCACACTTCTGGTAACATGGGGTTGTGGCCTAATGTGCTAATGAGCTGTGCTGGCAGGGGTGTGGCCTAATATGCTAATGAGTTTCTGGTGTTGGGTGTGGCCTATTATGCTAATGAGTTCCTGCTGGGCTTTTTCTACAAAAAGAGCCCTGGCAGAACTTCTTGGGAGATTTATTTACTGCACAGAGTATCACGCTTCTTTGACTGGGCAAAACTCTGCTATATTAACCAAATGCCCCAATAGTTACTACTACCTGAACTTTCAGGACTAGTTTTGTATATTTTTTTTAAACTCCATTCTGTTCCCAGCCTACTTTTCACTGGCTGAGCGTGAACAGAGCGCCTTCCCTGCCAGCCCCACCGAACAACCCACCCCCCCTTTTTTATTTTATTTTGCTGTCAAGTCGCGCTCAGCCCCGTCGGGTTTTCGGGATCAGAGAATTTTAGACCATCGCCTGACGCCATTAAATCTCCGGGATTGGCGATCGGACATCCCGGGCCAGGAGATGGTGCTAAAGGAAAGTTTTTACATAGCTACAGTCCCCGAAAGTTGGAGTCCAGTGGCACCTGCAAGACCCACAAAGTTTAATTCTGGCCTTCTGGTTATAAGCTTCCGTGTGCATGATGCGCCCTTCACCAAAATAATATTTGGTGGTGGGGGGGAAGGGTTTGGCCCCTGAGGACTTGAGAGGGTTAAAGCCACGGAGCGGCGCTTGCTCGAGAACCGGCACAACAAGTCCTCCCACTTCCGCCTTCTGGAACCGGCTTTGTTGGAGGACCGAGGCTGGAGCTGGACTGGGGGTAAAAGGATGGCAGGGTAAAGAAGATCTGTGGGGAGGAGGAGGAGGAGGGAGAAGAGGACCCTCCAGGCACCTGCGAGGGGGTCTCTGTTGTGGTGGGTCTGGCGAGCAGAGCAGGTCCGGGGTGGGGGGAGAGGGAGGTCGGGCCCCTTCTCTGCTCCCCGGCGGGAGGGCGGCGAATCTGCCGCAAGAAGCCGGGAGGGGATCCGGTTTCTCAGAAATCTTCCTGATCTCTGCAGATAGGAAACCCCTGCTAAGGGCAGGAGAGCCGGGCAGGCTGGAGTTTCTCCCGGTCACTTGGCAACCCCAGTGGGAAGGGCGTGTGGGCTTCAAGGCGGAGTCTGGTAGGGCTGCAGAGGGCTTTGAGGCTGGGGAAGAGGAGTAGTACCCCATGGAGACCCCCCCCCCTACCTGTCCTCTCTGGGTCTTCCATTACTGAGCTTCTGTCCGTGGCGAAAAGCAGACTGAATCCCCTGGGGCGATAGGTAACTCTGGTGGGCAGATTTCAGCCTCTGCCTTCCTGAAATAATAGTTTGTGCGTTGTTGGGTAAATGGGATTCCTGTGGAGCAGGAGAAGATGTGGGGAGGGGGATATTAATTTAGCGAGGCCTTTGGCAATGGGGTGGGGGTGTCCCATCCAGGGGTCATTTCGTAGAAAAAGAGGTGCAGGAGCTCATTAGCATAACTCATTAGCGTAACTTATTTCCATATGCCACACCCCCTGACATCACCAGAAGTGTGTCAGAAGGCAACACCCACAGCTCAGGCTCCACTGGACTGTTGTGGATTGCTAGCTATTGGGGGGGGGGACGTGCAGGTCTGCCCTCACAGAGGAGGGAG